CACCGTAAACTCTCCTTGTTAGATCATAACACCAAAGTAACAATTACATTTCTATTATCTTTGTGATATCCTATTTATCTTTCTGCATTATTTATTAAGAGTTCAGATCAATTTCAGGAGTCAGCTAGATCACTAGCATCTTTCCTTTGTATTAAAAATGCAAATGCACACCTCTCGGTATATTCTGGCATCCTTGATGAGGAAAGTGAGGATGCATAATTTTGTAATGTATATAATAAAAAAAAAATTCCAAAATCTTCCTGTGACAAAATATGGATTTTTAGGCTTAAAAATGATTATGAAAATGAGTTTTTTAATAGGTTTTTTGTCATTGTATTTTGGTTGTTTCCTGGTTTCAACAGAGAAGTTACTTGACACATTGTTAATAGCTACCTGAACAGATGGTTTTTCACATGTTAGATGCTATCAGAGGCACAGAGATTCATGACATGACATTTTTAATATCTGCTAATTACTTGAATCTAAAAGCATCAACATCTTTTTGAGATTTTATAAAAACAGAATTGTGATGCCAAACTTAATACTACACCCACACTCCCTCAAAGGTCTGTGACATGAACGTACTGTGGGAAATATAAAAATTCAGGAAAGTTATACCATTTTAAGTTACACAAAATACCAAATTTTCTGTTGATCAGAAATACTAGTAAAACCATTAACACAAAAGTATTACATTTATAACTCAAAGCCATAAAAAAACAAGTAAAGCAACAAAATTCAACAAACACACTGAAGAACTACTACGTAGAGGCATGGTCCAAGACACTGAAAATATAGAAATCAGAAAGTTCTTGACCCAGAAGCACTCAGAAACCAAGTAAAGAGCCAAATATGTTGGCATATAAATTTAAATACAGTGTGGTGGAATGATGTTCATCAGAGGGCAGAATAGGACACTCCAGTGCTGGTCCCCTCAAAGAAACATCAATTTAAACAATAGTTCAGATAAAAAATATTTTCACAAGAGCCAAGGAATCCAGGTAAGAGATTATAGCATCTAGGTTTAGGTCTTACATATTAAGAGAGTAAGAAGGACAGTTTTACATTACCCATGTCATGCCTCTCCCAAGCCCAGATAGCACAGTGCAGAGATACCCTCTGAATGGCAGAAGAAAAAGGAACTGGCCACTCAACCTGGCCACGGACCCTAGCACCAGTGAAACTGGCACCAGGCGAGGCCTTGTGGCCCTAGGATCCAAGCTTGTTTTCATGAGCTCATTCTCCAGGCCTATGCCAGTGCCAGGCCAGCTCCAGAGCCCCAGGCTTCAGGCCTACCCCCATACCAGGTCAGTTCCCATGGCCCAAGGGACCAGGCTGGCACCCAGAGAGATAGGGTGACTGCTGAAGCCCCATGTTCCACTAGACCCAGGGTCCAGGCTTTCCCCACTCACTCCCCACTCAGCTTCCAGAACTCCTTCCTCAGAAATAGCTTCTAGTCCATCACCCATGGACCCAGCCTCCATGTGAGTGGGGAAAAGGTGTAGAGTTTTTGTATGTGGTCAAAGTAAAGTTGTTCTCAGCTTAAAATACACTTTTATAACTGTAGTGGCTTCCCTTCTCCATGGTTCCGCTTTCCAAAGTTTCAGTAATCCATGGTCTAATATGGTCTATAAATATTAAATGAAAAACTCCAGAAATAAACAATTAGGTTGAAAATTGCATGCTATTCTGAATAGCATGATAAAATCTTGTGTTGTTACACTTTGTCACACCTGGGAAAATGAATCATCTCACTATCTAGTATATTCATGCTACTGTATACACTACCTGCCCATTAATACTTAGTAGTTGTCTAAATTATCAGATTAACCATCCTGGTATCACAGTGCTTGTGCTCAAGTAACTTTTATTTGTCTTAATAATGGCCCCAAAGTACAAGATTGAGATGCTGACAATTTGCATATGTCAAAGAGAAGCTATAAAGTACTTCCTTTAAAGGAAAAGATGAAAAAATATTTTGTGTATTTACTACACACAAAAAAAGGAATCAAAGTATACCACTAAAAAAAAAAAAAAACAAAATCAAAAAGAAACACAGTGAGAGAGAAAGAATGGAACAAATAAACTACAAAACAGTCAGAAAACAACAAAACAGCAGTAGTAAGTCCTTACCTACCAATAATTACTTTACGTGTAAAAGAATTAAATTCTTCAATAAAAAGACACACAGTGGCTGAATGAATTCTAAAAATATATAGCTATATGCTACCTACAAGAGACTCACTTTAGCTTTAAGGACACACATAGGCTGAAAGTTTAAAGATGGAAAAAGATATTCCATATACATGGTAACCAAAAGAGAATAGTAGTATTCAGATAATACAGACCTAATCACAAACTGTCACAAGAGAAAATAAGATGATAATATGATGATAAAGAGGTCAATTCATCAAGAAGATACAACTGTAAATATATATGTACCCAATGCTTAGCACCTAAATATATAAACAAAAATGAAGGGTATAACAGAGAGAAACACAATACTAATAGAAGACTTCAACAGCCCATTTTTAATGATAATTTATTCTGCCAGAAAATCAATAAGAAAAGAGCAAACTTGAACAGCACTACAGACCAAATGGACTTCCATCTAACAGCAGAACACATGTTCTTTTAGGTACACATGGAACATTCTTCAGAATACATCACATATTAGGCCATAAAATAAGTCTTAACAAATTTAAGAATATTGAAATCATAACTAGCATCATTTATACCATAACAGTATAAAAATAGAAATCAATAACGAATGAAATTTGAAAAATTCACAAATATTTGGAAAGTAAACAACACACTCCTGACAACCAATGGGTCAAAGAAGAAGTCAAAAGGGAAATACAAAAATACCTTGAGACAAATGTAAATGGAAGCACAAGATACCAAAACTCATAGGATGCAACAAAGGAGTTCTGAGAGGGATATTTATAACAATAAATGCCTACATTAAGAAAAAAGAAAGATCTCAAATAAAGAAGCTAACTTTATACCTCAAGGAACTAGAAAAAGAATAAACTAAGCTCAAAGTCAGCAAAAGGAAGGAAATAAGATCAAAATATAAAGAAATAAGAGCAGAGAAAACAGAATACTATATGGTTTTAAAGAGGAAAGGAATTCTATCATCTGCAACAACATGGATGAACCTGGAGGACAGAATGCTAAGTAAAATAAGCCAAGCACAGAAAGGCAAATACTGCATCATCTTACTTACATATAAAATATTTGAAAATTCAGTCTCATAGAAACAGGGAGTAAAATGGTGACTACCACAGGCTGGAATGAGGGGAACAGGGTAAAGGGAGACATTAGTCAAAGGGTACAAAATTTCAATTAGATGGGATGAATAAATTTTTGAGATTTATTATATAGCATGGTGACCAGAGCTAATAAAAATACACTGTATATTTCAAAACCGCTAAAATAGACTTGAAATGTTCTCACCATAAAAAAACAACTAGTTGAGGTGAAGAATATATCTACTAGTTTGATTTAATCCTTCTACAATGTATTCGTATATCAAAACATCACATTGTACCCCATAAATATATATAATTATTATTTATAAATTTAATTAAGTAATTTAAAAACTAGAAAAGATTCATCTAAGAGAGTTCTTTTGAAAATACAAAGGCTAGGTGTGGTAGCTCACATCTGAATTCCTAGCATTCTGGGAAGCTAAGGCAGAAAGATCACTTGAGCCCAGGAGTTCAAACCAGCCTGGCGAGAACTTGTCTCTACAAAAAACAAAAATTAAAAAATTAGCCAGGTGTAATAGCCTATGTCTGTGGTACCAGATACTCAGGAGGCTACAGTGGGAGGATCCCTTAAGCCTGGAAGGCTGAGGCTGAGCTCTTCATGCCACTGTACTCCAGCTTGGGTGACAGAGTGGGACCCTGTCTCAACAACAACAACAAGAAAATATAAACAAAACCGACAAATCATTAGCTAGGCTTGGAAAATAAGAGTATACTCAAATAAAATTATAAATGAATGAGAAAGTATTAGAAGTGAAACCACAGAAATACAAAGGCCATAAGAGTATGGATAGTTATATACCCATCATCTAACAGAAATAAATTCCCAGAAACATACAAACTACCAAGACTGAATTGTGAAGAAACAAAATACCTGAACAGAAGAATAACAAGAAAGGAGACTGAATCAGCACTTGAAACCTTCCAACAAATAAAAGCCCAGGAGCCGATGTCTCCACTGGTAAAGTCTACCAAACACTTAAAAGAATTAACACCAATCCCTCTCAAACTCTTTCAAAAAATTGAAGAGGAAGAAACAATTCCAAACTCATTTTATGAGGCCAGCCATCACCCTAATACAAAAGCCAGATGAGGACACTACAAGAAAAGAATATTGTAGGCCAATATTTCTGATCAATAGCTCAGTAAATATCAGCACAATTAGTTAAACAGAACATTTAAAGGATTATACACCATGATCAGGTCAGCCTCTAAGGAGACTTAACATACTTAACCATAGGCTGCATTTAAACTGTGGGAAAAGTCTCCTAATAGTCATGGACAGCTAAGGTAATTACCAGGTGGCCATTTTTGTTTATATGCTTCCTTGGAGTATCATTTAATCAAACATGTGCTGATTATATAAAAAGTAAAATGAATACTGTTGCCCACACTCTCATTTGAGAATGCAAGAGGTGAGTTCAGCAACCACTGCTGATCATGTGTGTTAATGGTATTCCTTCCTTGATTATACTATTATTATTGCTCTTACAGTTTGCATGGAGAAAGTGTTCTATCTGAGGATAACTAAAGTAAGTAAAAATGTCAAATTACTTTATTATTAAAAAATGTCCCGAGATAAAATGAAAATTGGGCAAAACTTTGAGTTTTCTTAAAACAGCCCAGTAAACTTCTTGTGGAGGGAGTCAGGATTTTTAGTTGAGTTCCAGATAGTTAAGTTCCAGTTCCAGAACTGTTTTGTCACAGAATATTAGACAAATCGGCAGCATTCGCACCAAGGGCTTGAGACAGTTTGCGTGACTCGCCCCATCTTGGCTGCTGGACCTATCTGCTCTCCCCCGACTCTCGAGGGCTGTCAAATCAAGGTAAAAATGGCTAAGCCACTGAGGCAAAAACAGAATGCAGAGCAAGGGCCTGCAGTTTATGAGGACATTGTGCTGACTGCTTTCATATCCCCTTTAATCTCTGTGTAAGCAACAGACTTGCTGCAATTGAGATGCCTGAGAGGGGCAAGGACCCCTGCCCATATTTTCTCAGGAGCTGAGCCTTTGCTCTACCTCCTGATGGAAAACATAATTAACAAGCCACCATGAGGACACCATTGTTTGATTGCACTGTGTACTCTTAAAAAACATATATTAACCTTTAAACTGCTTTGTAAGCTATTATCACAAGCCCCCTTAAAACTGCTTTGTAAGCTATTATCACACGCCCCCTTAAAATTGCTTTGTGAGCTGTTATCACAAGCCCCTGATAACTATTTTTACGTGGTTTCTGTTCTCTTTTCTGTTTACCCCTTTTCTGCTGAGATAAAGTAAATGTAACAAGAAAAAAGGTATAAAAGCTGTAACCTACAAAAATAAAGTGCTGTGTTCTGACTGTAAGTTACACAGACCTCCAGACTCCGCTTTTCTTTCTTCTTTCACTTCCACACACTCTCTCCCTCAGGTTGAACAAGACATCTACGTTGGTTGTCTCGGGGACTCCCGCAGGTTGGTAGCCCCTGGGCAGACGTGCCAGGCCCCAACACAAATCTAAGCAGTTCATCTCCAATAATGCCACATTGCACTGTATATTAGCTGTCTTTGGGAAGCATTTTTATGATAAAAACATGAATGTTATTAATATAATGAAATTGCATTTAAAAATGACAGCAGCAGGAGATATTCAAGCTCTTATTTGCAGAATGCCTAGATACACACTACTTGAAATCTTGTGGAATTGTAGTAATAGAAAAATATGAGTCTTGACATAGGACTCACCCAAGTACTACATCCTGTTATTCTCTACCCCAACAGGAAAGAAAGGCAAGAGTCAAATCCCAAAGGGACTTGAGATACATAACAGTTGGTCTTTGATTGGAAAACAAAAAAGTGGTTCCTAGGCCTTTGGTTTAGAACACAGAAAACAAGCTCTCCATGTGACTATGGGAGTAAGCATCTTCACTGTATAGTGCCAGGACATCATAACACAAAACCTAACATGTGCTCAATAAAGGAGGATTGATGGATGAATGGAAGAAATGAGGCTATAAGTGGTGGCAAAATTCAAGGCCAATTCATAAAAGCCCCCATGACCTGAAATAAAACACCCAAGCCTACGTGAACTGAAAAGAGTAGTACACCAGACATAAGCAGCTCCTGCAGCAGGACTTGGGGAGATAAGGGGATGCCAGCAAGAGCAGCTCCTTTGAAAGTCAGGCATTTGTAAACAGGTGACTGTGGATGGAGAAAGGGAATGATGTGCAAGGAGCTGAAGAGCTAGGCTAGCATGGCAAGGATGTTTACCTGAGTACCATATACCCTCTGGAGCACTTAATCCTTAGTGAGAATTAGTTGTATCCATTTAACCTTTTTCCTTGGTGGAAATATGCCTACCTTGTTTCTATTATAGCTCAACTGCTTCAAAATAAGAACAAAGATTCCTTAAATCTGTTGCAGGAGTAGTACCCACTGGTTCCTGGGGTGATAGTGCTGCCAGGCCTGTGGGTTTCTGGTTGGTGTGTACAGACCCTTGTGGCCATATGGAATCCAGAGAAACTGGGCTCCAATGCTGACACTGAGCAAAAGTTACAGAAAACAAACTCCCTGCCAGTATAGTATGCCATATCCAGAATTCTAAAGTCAAGCCAAGCAGGCATGGTGATCGAAGAACCCTATGACTATAACCAGACAATGCTGGTTCAAATCCCTGCTTGCCTACGTACTAGGTTCCACATCTTGGGCAAATTATTTAATCTCACTGACTTAGATTTCTCATCTGTAAAATGAAACCAATATCTCATCTAGTACTTCAAAAAGCTGTCCTGAAGACTCAATGGAATAACTGATTCATTCAGCAAATATCTACTAAGTGCCTACTATGTTCTGAGCACTGTTTAAGTGCTGAGGACTCAGCAGTGAACAAATCAGGAAGAACTCCCTGCCCACATGGAATCTGCACTCTAGTGGATTGATGTATGTCCACAGATGAGGCTTGGCCCAAAGTATGTGTCAAGACATGTCAATATTAGAACTTCTCCTTGTTTTTTAAGTGCCTGACCCAGACAGAAATCGAGCAGGTTCTGGAAGGGCCTGAGACCTCCGCCAGCAGAGCAGAGAGCCCATCTGCACCTTCCTTTGACTACAGCATCATCTAGTGTTGAAGATGAGCACTTGTCCTGGTGGAAGGGAGCACCTGCCTTCATGTCTCTGAGATTTCATGTGGAGACTTTCTAGAATAACTGATCCTGCTGGCCTCCTGCCCTTGCCAGGGGAGCCTTGCTTTTCAATTGTGAAAGTTAATCTAGTTGAAAGTCAAAAGCACCTGAGGTCAGGAGTTCAAGACCTGCCTGGCCAACATGGCAAAACCTCATCTCTACTAAAAATACAAAAAATTAGCCAGGCATGGTGGCAGGTGCCTGTACTGTCAGCTACTTGGTAGGCTGAGGCAGAAGGATCACTTGAATCTGGGAGGCAGAGGTTACAGTGAGCCGAGATCATGCCACCGTACTCCAGCTTGGGCAACAGAGTGAAACTCCATCTCAAAAAAAAAAACAAAAATAAAACATAGGCTTGACCGTTAGTAACCAGAGGCATTAAGGAAGTCCCTAGTAACCAAATGGGCAAGAGAGAGAGTTCTTTTGGAGAAAGAGAAAAGGAGAAAGTTAAAATACATAGGATGAAAAGCAGGAGAGTGCCTACTTCAAACTTATCCTGAGTCTCTCTTTACCTAGAAAGGATCATGTTCCACCTTGATGAGTTCTTCCACCTTGGCTTCACTTTCCAAACAAGCCCAGAAGGTACAGATGGAAAGGAGAAGACAGCCAAGCCAGCTTGGGTATTTGGCTTTTCTCACCTCTTGGGCTGGCCCATGATGATGTATAGAAATCCTCCTCCATGCGTACAGAGCATAAGAGGAGCTGCAAACTGACATGGGTGTAACCAAAAGGAATTTCTGAGTGATAAAGTGATATCTACCTGAACATCTTACAAGACTGGAGGGGAAGGGCCTGAAATAAGACTCCACAGCACAAAGCATTTATATCTACATATTTGTAAGAGATGTGCAGAACTGTGTGTGTGTGTGTGTGTGAGAGAGAGAGACAGAGAGAGAGAGAGAGAGAGAGAGACGGAGTCTCGCTCTGTCACCTGGGCTGGAGTGCAGTCACGCAATCTCGGCTCACTGCAACATTTGCCTCCCCGGTTCAAGGGATTCTCCTGCCTCGGCCTACCAAGTAGCTGACACTACAGGCACCTGCCACCATGCCTGGCTAATTTTTTGTATTTTTAGTAGAGACAGGGTTTCACCATGTTAGCCAGGATGGTCTCGATCTCCTGACCTCGTTTTCTACCCGCCTCAGCCTCCCAAAGTGCTGGGATTACAGGTGTGAGCCACCATGCCCTGCCAGAATTTTAAAATAGGAAAAGCCCTAGGGATTGACTCAATACTCATTTTGGAGAAGAGGGAAGATCAGAGAGGTTGGGCACTCAGTGTAAGTCACACAGCCAGCACTCCTGACCAGCGTCCTCTTCACCTCTCTCATTGAGAGAGAAAGGAGCTTCAATTTGAGGAGAAAAGCACACAGTGGAGTCAAATAGGTATTAGCTGTTAAGACTTTGGAAAGATTACTCACCATCTCTGTTTAGCACCAACTCCAAACAGAAGGCTTCTGTCAGTGAAAGCTCATGGAAAACAAGGCAATACATATTCAATGAACATTAGCCCCATATCACTCTCCTAAATATCACTCCAAATGACCTTCTTCAAAGCCTGCTGAAGTCACTGGACTTGATTCCTCTGGGATCAAGATGGTGTCACACGAGAAGAAAGGCAGTGAAGTAAGAGTGTAAAGAAACGCATGGGAATGGCAAACACCAAAGTCAGACCAGCAGTTACTTCAGAGGGGGAGGAGAGGGGTATGTGGGGGCTTCAAATCCATCAGTCATGCCCGATGTCTGTAGGTGAGTGCTAGGTATGTGTGTGTTCATCACATTGTTTTTATGCCTTTTCACGTGTCTGAAATATTTCACAATAAAATGTTTACATAAATAAAAAGAAACAAATCTTTGAGAAAGTAGCACATGAGACTATAAAGTCTTTATATAGGGGCAAAAAAGAAAGGAAAACCTTCGGAGCATGGGAAACTACCCCAGCGAGGCAGGCCCTGGGAAGGGGTCAGCAATAGGACACAGGGTGTTCCATGGGGAAACAGGCTCAAAAGGGTACATCACCACCTTGATCTCTAGCACAGTTTCACCTGGCCCTCTAAGAAATGTACCAAGAAACAGAAAAAGTTGTTCATATTTACACTTCCATTCAAGCTTTAGGCTTGGCATGGTGCCTTCTGTCCAAGGAATGAGGGAAGCTGCATAGCTCCCATCTAGCAGGCCTGAGGGAGGGGTCTCAGGTCTTACCAAGTCAGCTCAGTCAAACTGACCACATAACCTGAGATGCTAAGCTTTGCCCAGTGTCTCTTGATATCCCTGAAGATGTGGGAAAGAGAAGAACAAGGAGAAAAAAATTACTGAGCCAAGATAAGAATTCATTATTGACCTGCTTTCCCCTGATTCTAGTCTCAGCCATGAAGATTAAAATGCTCCAATTTTTCAGTCTGTTCTTAGTTGAACAAAAATATATAAATTTCATAAGGCACACAGTAGGTGCTAAATAAATACATGAAAGGAAAGCAACATTCTTACCACACAAAAACACCTGCATATTGAGAGACTGGGGGCTAGTATGGTGCAACGGAAAGCACGTTAAGATTTGGTGTCCAAAAACTTGAGTTAGAGTACATGGTCCAATGTGTCTCCATGCAAAACACCTACCTTCTCTAGGTTTCCATATTCTCAAATGAGGATACCTCCCAAAATATATGCCCATC